AAGAACTCAAAACAATCATCCCCCTCAAATATAAGGACCCAATTAAAAAATGGGCATCTGAAATGAACAGACATTTATCAGACAAAGAAGTAAAAGCAGCAAGTAAATATATGAAAAAATGTTCCACATCACTGGTCATTCAAGAGATGCAGATTAAAACAACACTGAGATTCCACCTCTCCCCACAAAGAATGGCTGCTATCAAGAAATCACACAATAACAAATGTTGGCGAGGTTGTGGGGAGAAAGGAACCCTTCTCCATTGTTGGTGGGAGTGCAGACTGGTGCAACCACTGTGGAAATCAATATGGAGATACCTCAAAGAGCTGGGACTAGAGGTTCCATTTGACCCAGCTATCTGTCTGTTGGGTATCTTTCCAAAAGAATGAAAAGAATCATATCACAGTGATATATGCACACCTCTGTTTATAGTGGCACAGTTTGTAATAGCTAGGACTTGGAAACAGCTCATTTGCCCATCAGTTGGAAACTGGATAAAGAAGATGTGGTTTTCCTATAAAATGGAATAATACTCAGCCATAGAGAATGAGAAATTAGATTCATTCATAGGAAAATGGATACCTATTGAGGATATACTCTTAAGTGAAGTAAATAAGTCACACGTGTAAATACCGAATAGTTTCTCTGGTGTGAAAAACTATAATAGTACATAAGATCCTAATGAGATAATTGATAATGGGAAATAGGAAGAAAGGGGCTAAAGGTGTAGGGATAGTGGGAGGGGTAGGGGAAAGGGAATAAGGGAAAAGAAAAATATGAGAAAATGAAAACATGGAAATAAAGTGCTTGTAAAGGGGGAGGAAGGAGGGTTTGAAGGGAGGGCAGGGACAAGGGGAAAAAATGAGAACCAAGACCTGTCATGTAGAGGTACAAGATCCCAATAATAAATGTAACTGTACTGTACACCTAAAATGTGCTAATAAACTCCATGAGGAAAAGAAAAAACTATTGTGAATGAAACTCTAATGGTGGATACGTACCAGTGCACATTACAATGTACAGCACCAAAAGTGCACTCTAATGTAAATGAGGGATTTTGAATGACAGTGGTGTGTCAGTGTAGTTACCTACACTGACAAATAATTGTACCAAATGTACCGTTCTCATGGGGGGATTTTGATAATGGGAGTAGGAAGGAAAGTCTGGGGGTAGCGAATATATGGGAACCTTCTAATCAATTGTGCAGAAACAAAACTAAAACTGTTCTTTACAAAACACCAAGTATTACATTAAAAACAATAGGTTATCGCCGGGTGTGGTGGCGCACACCTGTAATCCCAGCACTCGGGAGGCTGAGGCAGGAGGATCACTGTGAGCTCGAGACCAGCCTGGGCTACATAGTGAGTTCCAGGTCAGTCCCAACTACATAGTGAGACCCTGTCTCAAAAAACCAAGAATACAAAAGCAAAAACAACAGTAGGTGGTCAATTATGTTTTGAGTAAATTCATGAATCTTTGCTAAGTTTGGAAATTGGGTGAGTAGCCTACAATCAGGCAAATATCCTAAGATTTGGGTCCCTGGATCAAGAGTTTTTGAACCAATTCATCTCCTTGTTCATGCATGGAATAGAGAAGGCTTAGATGAGGTGCTTTGGACAGAAGAGGTAGAGCCCAAACCTCAGAACATTTCTGAGGTTGGTTTTCAAATTAGAACCATGAAGAAAAAGGCTGCGTGCTGGAAGGACTGGCTCACGTCTGGACAGCAGCAGCTCAAATGTGCTAAGTGGCTTTGGTCCATGCAAACTGGGCCCATCAGGGATGGACTGGCTCCTTCTTGGTTACGTACTTGCCAACTCCCTGGGAAGGAGATTCTTTCCTGGAACACAGTGACTATCTTGCTTCTTGCCTGGAACTCTGTGAGACTCTTGGCAATGCCTGGCCCAGCTGGGTGCACCCCGAAACTTCACATATACTTGATACTGGCATTGATATTCCTCTTTTACGTTGTGGTTGAGACTCATTAATTCTCAATAAGGACCTGTGTCAAAGGAGGGAGTTTCCTCTCTTTCTAACAACAAAAAATGTTTCCTTCATTGAGCCACAGTTCCTGTAACTGATTTGTACTCCTGGCACAGGACAGCGTGTTGTGTGGCACCCTCAGGCTGGTGAGAAAAGGGGACAAACTCAAGCATTCCTGGGTAGGAAGGCTCTTCCTTGCATTCACCACAATTGCTAAAACACCATGCTTAATAGTCCGAGACTGGTCTGTATTTGCGTGGAAACTGTGTTTGTGTGGAATTTTATTTAATTTTTTACTTCAAGATGGCCATAATAAGAGCCAGACTGTTGATGAGTCTAACGATTAGAAGCAGCCTCAAAATTCCCCACACAATCATGTTGGGTTCAATTTTGAGACCTTGTTCTAATAGCTCAAAATGTGTGGTGTTTATCTAGCCACCCCCCTGAAGCACTTGAATCCACTGGTGCCAAACACATGCATTAGGTTTTCAGCTGCTCTAGTTCAAGGATGTCTCAATAGCCAGCCATGGAGTTTACGTAAAGCAGTCTGGAAGGGTGTTGGGAGGGCTCATTTAGTAACTGCCGTATTTGTGTCCATCATATTACTGTTCAATTGGCAAGCATGAGGCGGAGCTTGGAGTGGCTGTGTGTGTGCACTCGCCAGCCTTGGATGCACTGTGTGCTTGGAAACAAGGAGTGCACAGGGGGCTCCTGGCTCCGGGAACTCAGCTCTGTGTTTGCATTCATCTGAGTCATGCCCGCTGTTGCACCTGCTTCCTCTGGAGCCAAACTTACACATTATCACCATTACTCTTTAATTGTACTGAAATTGCACTAATCGATGAAGTCTGTCTTTTCCTTTTCTTTCTCTGCCACATAACAGGATCTCCAGGGCTGTGTGTGTGTGTGTGTGTGTGTGTGTGTGTGTGTGTGTGTGTGTGAAGTTTTCTGAGTCACTGCTTGAGGAATTTTTTATTGTATTAGTTTTCAAGGGATTCTAGTAATGAAAGTATTACAGTGATAGGGCAAGCAAACATCTAAACTAAAAAAAACCCATCAGGTGGTAGACTTTTGCTTTCATTTAAAGAGGTAATTTCCAAAACTGTCGTCAGGTCAGAGTGTAGAGTTGGAGAGGCTCTTCTCATACAGTTAGCGGGGTTCATCAAATGACTGACAAAGAGAGAAACTTGGACTCTGAGAATAAACCCATCATTTCCATTTATGTCTTATGTAAGCAAAAATTCCCAGTGTAAATATCACGACATAATTCCACATTCCCTTCATATCTTGTTTGACAGGAACTGCCATTTCCAAACTCTTCAATACCTGAGAAATGGAAAAACAGTTGCAGAGCAAGAGTAGAAGATTCTAGATGAGCTGGCAAACGATAGCTCAAGGACTGGCCCATTTTTGTAAATAAAGCTCTCCTAGAGTACAACCATGCTCATTTGTTTACATATAGTCTATGGCTGTTTTTGTGCACATGGGCAGAATCGAATAGTTAGACATTGTATGGACGAACAACCCCAAAACATTTACTGAGTTTTTACTGAAAAAGTTTGCCAACCCATGGTCTAGACAAATAGTTGGAGGAGCCAAATGTTGGCTGAGAGTCCCCAGCTAACAACGCCAGGAGAGGAATTGGGCTAGCTTTGGTTGTTGTCATGCATTAAAGATCCCACAAGCCAGTAAATAAAACCCCCTACTATTCACCTTACTTTGAGGCAGCAACATGGAAAGTAAAATCAGGTCTGTATGTATTTTATATATATACATAACCTGGATCTCTAAAGCATTACTAGGTTGCATAAGTCAAGGTCATGTCTCAGAACTTTTAATAGAGGAAAATGCTGGTGGCCACTGAAGTACTGATGTTGTGCTGTGGTGTGTGTGTGTGTGTGTGTGTGTGTGTGTGTGTGTGTAAAATTCTACACTGCTCAAAACTACACACTCTAGTGATATATGTGGTCCTACTTTAGGTACAACTATTTAAATGTTTCCCAGTCTTTGAAAATGGTTTCAAGATTCACCAGAAATGTGTATTTTAAGGAAGCAGATGAATTTCTTAGCGGAGACTTCTAGCACCAACATGCTGTACCCATTCAGCAAAACAAGCCATCAACCGTACGACTATTGTATCTGAATGATGATACACTTTCCACGGTGGCAGGAATCACTGTCTGGGGCTCAGAAGCCAGACATGGTCTCTAGGTTATTTTTCACATGTTCTGACAAATTCAGATCTCTATCTTTTGTGGCCAGAGTTGGTCAGTCTGGCCAGGAGTTCAGATGTTGACAAAGAACAAATTAAAAGACTAAAGCAGTTAAAACAACCATCTCACTAGCTCTGAGTTGAGCCCTCTAGACAAGTGCAAGACAAGGTGGCTGGAATAATATTGGACTGGTATGTCAGGAGTGATCTGAAGGTTTTGGAATGTCATTAAAGACAGGGCTTTTTATTTGGTTACAGGAGAGGTTTCCTCTTTTCTCATTTAAATATTAGGCAGATTATAGACAATAGACAACACTGTATAGTTTTCTGCATAGACATGTGATTAATTGCAGCAGAAAAGCCAGCTGGGGCCCAGGAACACTTGGACCTCCTCCCTGACGCTGGGCTATGTTCTATGTCCACGGATTTAAATGGCTGAAATCTAGTTCTCTAACCGCAACTCTCCTTTCCTAGAAGAATGTATGAAGCTTGAGACAATGACTTAGGGAAGAAATAGTATGTAGTGCAAATATCACTAAGAACCTAAGCCAGGCATAGTGCACAAGCCTGTAATCCCAGCTATCTGGGAGGCTGAGGTAGAAGGACCTCACACTCAAGCTCGGGATGGGCCACCAAGTGACTCAGTGAGGCTCTGTCTCAAAACAAAAATAAAAACAGGCTGGGTATGTAGTGCCCCCTCCCCACGTACACACACGCACATACCCGAATCTAACTGCAATTTTTGAGACTTTTGTTAAAAGTTAAAACCCCTGTTAATTATAAGCTTTATCACAGTTGAAAGTGCAGGACACAAGTTTTTCTTTATTTTCAGTTCAGGGACAATAGGATCATATGACTGAAGAAAACGTCATCATTCTATAGGTTTATTAGGAAACAAATATTGGCTCTAATTTTTTCTTAATGTTTCATGGATCTGCATGTCATCCTTGCACAGAAGTCGTACTCATCTTCTCTGTATTTGTTGCAGTCTTAGTAGATGTGCTGCGGAAGTGAGTACAGTCCAATTTCTTGAATTTGCCAATTTTTAAGCTTAAAAAGTCCAAGAGCCAACATATTTGAGCTTTGGTACACACCATCATTCAGTCCGCTTGTAAATTTTAATTTTAAAGAGACCTTTTGTTTTCAAAGGAGGATTTTAGTAGGGTTAGTTTTCAAAAAAGGTAACCTGACATTCTAATTTTGGAATAAGAAGGTGAGCTTTATATGGGAGGTTCATAAAAGGTGTGCTAGAAAAACAAAACAAAACAAAACCAAAAGCTCTCAAACCTTTCAGGACTGAGCATGTGGGACTAAGTGTTTCTTTAAAGCCAAGCACCATACTCTACAAGTCACATAAGGAGCAGCGACCTATGCTTTCCACGAGCAAACTGTGAAGGCACATTTTTGTGTGACATTCCTGCAGGAGCAGCCAGGCTGTAATTAAGATCTAGCCAGTTAGATGATCGCTAGGGAGAGGTCCAGGGTATGGGGAACACTTTGAATTACATTCCATGCAAACATTAGACTGTCAAAGCTTAGGGAGGCTCTGATTGTCCGTAGTGGGGGAAGGACTGAAACGAATGCTCACACATGTCAGCACGAAATAGCTGCTGACACAAATTGAACATGTGCAATTTTTGAAAAAGGTGGTATCGAGTAACAGGCCAACAGCTCTCCCTCTCGGCAGTTTAGACCTCTTTCTTCTCTCCACTTTGGCTCTTTGTAGAGTCACTTCCATCAGGCAAGGCTCCATAGGATAAGCCATTTGAATCTGGTTGTACTTTGTCCAACATTTGTTTCCCTGTGGAGATAATAACATGAAAAGATCTTTTGAGCTCTTACAAAAGAAAAAGTCCTAATACTCTCTGTTCAATCTAGGCCTCATTCTACTCCTTTATAAAACACCATGTGGTCACCCTCTAAACAGAAAAGATAAACATTAAAGAAGAAAAGGCCCTTGGAATTCCATGTTGCTTGATAATGTGGTCATGTGCTGTACATGTGAGGGGTGGAAATCAGGTTGGCTCAGTCAGGAGTTTCATGTGAAGAGTTCACTTGCTTTGTGAAATGGAAGAGTTAAAACAAACAAACAAACAAACAAACTTTATTTACAAACAAGCCATCTATAAGGCACACCCTGTCACAAACGCCATCTTGCATTGAGTGCTCTTAGCAGATAAGATGGCTCACATGGCAAAGAGAACAAGGAATCCACATCCTAGAGCCATCATCTTTCCGTTTTACGGATGGAACTTTAATGGTTTTTGCTTCCAAGGCATGGTGCTAACAGAATGGTGGGAGACGGGCCGGGGATTTATCTCAGTGATGCTGCTGCCTGCAGAAGGCCCTGAGTTAGATCCCTGGTACCAAAAAAAAAGAAAAAAGAAGAAGAAGAAGAAGAAGAAGAATGGGGGAAGTTCTGGTAACATCTCCACTCTTGGAAAACTTCAGGTCACCCCAAATCCCTAGCAAAGCTAGAGACTGCTGGGGGTGGATGGGTGGTAGGGACCCAGCAGACTGCTTCATGACTGAGTGGATTATTTCTCAGCGGAAATGAGAACCAGAGAGATGATGCATATTGGCTTAGTCTGGATGAGTGAAGCAGGAGGAGGGGAAGATGATGTCCCAGGCCACCTCATTTCTCCCAGGAATGACGCTTCTTAGCTGCTTAAGCTCAAGTCCTCCAACCTTCCTTCCAAGGCTTCTCCTCACAGTGGGAATCCAAGCAGCCGGTCCGCACGGTTTTCCCTACCCTCTTACACTTTAGGGAAGCCCAAAATAGAAATCCCCTAGATCAAGAAAACATTGTCAGTTCTTTCACAGGCCCAGTGTTCAGTGCAACACTGACATTCCATAGCTCAACATTTACACTGAAAACATCACCTTTGGCCTCATCAGTAAATGTACTTTTCCTGAGAGTAAAAATTATGTTTTATATTAACTTAACACCCCAAATAATGCCAGCAATTGTTCGTGTATAAGGATAAAGCTTTCTATTATGAATTGCAGGAGGTATATGTATATTTTACCAGGAATATTTCCAAAATCAATAAAAGACTGCTGCAGATGTTCCTTTTCTCGATTTCTTGTGACCAAGAACACGCCAAGGAATGACAGAAAGCACCTGTAACAAAAATATTAATAAAGAACACAGGAACACTGAAATAGCATATGGTATTAAATAACTGAGCTCCATATTCTACATGATGACATAAACTCCATCAGTTTTGTTTATCCTGTTTCTCATGGTAAGTTGCCTAGAACTTGTCTTAATTACTGCAGCCAATAATATCTATACCCAGAACCAAGACTTGGGCGGCTTCCAATAAATCTCTGCCCCAGGTTTTTACCATCTGGACAATAATTCAGGCTCTAAACCCTTTGGGTAGACACTAGGTCTCGTTTTCTATCCATGCATGCCCAGGCCCTTTACTGGCATGCAACATGAGTGAAAAAACAATTTATTCTTTAATTTTCTAAGAAATCTCGTTGTCCTTGGCCATAAGAGTAGTCATAGTTTCCAGACCCCACAAGCTTGGCCTCACCCAAATGTCTTATGAAATTGAGTTCTCAAGATAGATGGTTTCCTTCGCTGAAAATAGATGATGTTCAAGTGTGCACAGCAGTGGCCACACTGAACAGAGGGTCAAGGAGCAGCTTAGCATTAATAGAGGGCCGGCTGGTGCCAACGGAAGCGTCTATACACCGGTGAGACATTGTTAAGCTTCTGCTCTGTCTTTGCCAGCTATGCCAGCAATGACGTCCACCAAATCTCTGAGGGCTCAAGCTGGGCACACTAGCACAAGATGGGCATACTACTAACCTGAGGTTATTAGGTCCAAAGCTAAGGTTCAATTCCAGCCTTGGCCTTTTACTTTGGGTGATCTAGAAGGCATTCGTGCTCCTAGACTTCAGGTCTCAAGTTCTCAAGCGTGTGGTAGGTCTGATATAGTATGAGAAGGCTATGAGGTGGCCACAAGGCCTGTGGATTTATCCTGACTTTGGCTAGAACTGAAAATCCCCTCAGAGGGGGCCTGAATCACAAAGCCAAAGACACCGAACCCCATATAGGGTGTTAAGTTGAAAAATATGTTTCTTTTAAGAGTTTAGGAAACTGATGATTCTTACATTATTTCCAATTTTCTACACTTCAGGTACAATGCCAAGAATCCTATATAAAAGTAATAGAATTTAACATACCTTACCTCTGAGGCATTTACTCACCCAAACAGATATATAAATATGGTGAGAAAAGCAGCACCAAGAAATTCCTGATAAAAGATGATACCTACATAGAAATAGAAGACAAAGTTAGGATAGGAGTATTTACGATACCACACACTGTTAAAAATTATGTAAATGTATTTTTTCTATATAAGGTTACCCTTAAAATGCCTTCAGTGGTTTAGCTAAAAAAAAAAAAAAATTGCATGCCATACTTACATTTAAAGCTATTCCAAAAAGAACACAGACTTGTAGACTCTACATAATATGATTATCATTATTTAAGATTAACATAATTGACATAACTTTTGCAAGCAGAAGCTCCTTACCCAGTCCTGGATTTCCCCACTGGAACATACAAGAAAACACAACTCTAGACCATTTCCCAACTACAGGTTTAGGTCAGAGGTCAGCAAGCCTGGTGTGAGAGGGTGATCGCTCCTGTCATGGCTGGCTCTATGGTCTCCTTTTGTCTGGGGTCTGCAGGCCTGGCCATTTGCCCATGCAGGCACTGGATGAACACTGGCCACTGTGGTGTTGCCCCAGCTCTGTTTCCTTCTGCCAACCCCACCCACCTCCTCCTTCTGGACTTTCCTTCCAGGCACTGGAAATGAGTACACATGGTCTCCTCTGAGGAGCTGCTTCTCTCCCTGTTGATCACCATGATTTTTTTCTTGTTTTAATGATGATCTAAGGCCTTTGTAGAATTTTAATGAAGACATCTTCAAATTATGAACCACCTGAATTAGATTTCTAGTGTATGTGGTGTTAGCCTTTCTAGCCAGTCAACAAATATATCTTGAGTGTCTTCTCCGCACCACGCGGGAGACTCTGGTGAACAGGCTAGAGTCCTGTTCTCAGGTTCAACCTTACCTCCTCACCTACAGAATGAACTTCTTCCGTGAGGGAGCCAAACCCCAGTCTCATATTTGTCAGATGAATGAACATTTTGGAAGCATCTTCCATCTTATTGCTTACTTCTTTGTAATCATTTTAATGTTTTCATGTTATTCTACGGACGCACCATATTATTAATTTCTCCATGAGCATTTTAAGTTGTTTCTAAAAGTAGCAATGAGCTGCTTTGTACATTTTCCCCTCAGTGTCTTAGGATTTTTCTGTCATTAGAATGGGTTCCTAGAAGTGAAATTTCTTGTTCAAAGAATAGAACTATTTTTTTTTACTTAAAATAACAGTAAAATATATATGATGTAAAAGTTACCATCTCACTTTTTTTTTTTTTTTTTT